GAAGTGGCATTGAAGTGTTTATCTATTGGTGGTATTGAAGGGATGGTCTAGAAGTGTCATTGAAGTATTTATCTATTGTGGCATTAAAAGGATGGTCTCGAAGTGTCATTGAAGTGTTTATCTATTGATGGTATTGAAGAGATTGTGAACAAGTGTCATTGAAGTATTTATCTTACTTGTGGCATTGAAAGGATGGTCTAGAAGTGTCATTGAAGTAATTATCTATTGCCAGCATTGAAAGGATGGTCTAGAAGTGTCTTACAAGTGTTTATCTATTGGTGGTATTAAAGGGATTGTGAAAAAGTTTCATTGAAGTGTTTATCTATTGGTGGCATTAAAAGGATGGTCTAGAAGTGTCATTGAAGTATTTATCTTACTGGTGGCATTGAAAGGATGGTCTAGAAGTGTCATTGAAGTGTTTATCTATTGGTGGCATTAAAAGGATGGTCTAGAAGGGTCATTGAAGTATTTATATATTGGTGGCATTTAAAGGATGGTCTAGAAGTGTCATTGAAGTATTTATCTATCGGTGGCATTAAAAGGATGTCACTGAATTATTAATCACGTTAACATTGAAATTAAAAAGGTGATTATAGGCAGTTCTGAAGTGTTTGTCTTTTGAGTGGCTCATGGTGGTCGGTCTTTTCATGCCACAAATTCACGCCACTGCAATAGGTGGCTCTTAAGTGTTTATTTATGGTACTGCATAGCATTTATTTCTCCAAATTGCCTTGCCTGTCAACAAGCCAGGGAATTTCCTCGTGCACTTTTCTTGTTAGTAACGGGCAGGATAAGCTTGCTCAGGCTTTAATAGCCATTACAGGCGGAGGATGAGGACTTGAACCGTGTTAACTGGCGTGAGGGGGTTGTGATAGTAGAACACATTACATTTTACAGACAGCAGAATCAATACGCCTTACACATGTAACAAATACACAACAGTCTTCTAATACAGTTTTCATTAATCAACTTTATGTTGTATTATACATGGCATATTGATCAAATTTATTCAAACTTGTTGAAAGTTCCTGGTCGTGTTTCCTTCTGTCTGTACATGTGTCAATAGGAATGTATGGCTCGTGTGTATTTGTCTTCAGCCTACTTTCACCAAGAGGTTTGGGTATTCCTAGGTTATTTGTTTTGATCCATTCATTCATGTCATCTATCACCATATGTCAATACCTGCAGTTATTTATTGTCAGGTTATCATCAATATTAGTGTTTGTTGATTCTCTAAGGGATTGACATTAACATTTCAGTATTTGTTTATTGTATCTTGACATAAATAAAGGAGAATATGCTTGGTCTTCATGGCTTAACTATTAAAGTCACTTTCATTAAACTATTAAAGTCACTTTCATTAAACTATTAAAGTCACTTTCATTAAACTCCAACTATCAAGGAAATTTGCTTTGGAACATATTGCACACTTTGGTTTCTGTATAAAATATAACCAGGTTAGTCAAGACGCTTTGGTTACTGTGAACAATGTAACCTGGTTAGTGAAGACACTTTGATTTCTGTGAACAATGTAACCTGGTTAGTGAAGACACTTTGATTTCCGTGAACAATGTAATCTGGTTAGTGAAGACACTTTGATTTCTGCGAACAATGTAACCTGGTTAGTGAAGACACTTTGATTTCTGTGAACAATATAACCTGGTTAGTGAAGATACTTTGGTTTCTGTGAACAATGTAACCTGGTTAGTGAAGACACTTTGATTTCTGTGAACATTGTAACCTGGTTAGTGAAGACACTTTGATTTCTATTTATCACATAATCGGCCTGTTATCCATTGAATTCGCTCTGTAATATTTTTACATATGTCACTAGTGTAATATACCCTGGAGCGTTTTTCATTGGCTGTGCCAGTCAGAAATTGATTGTAACGTCATAATATGAACAGTGACGTGACATCATAAATTGTGAATGGCGCAACAAAATTGCTGTCTCCGTTTGATTAAGCCCTCTACAATTTGGCTTTAAAACCTGTCAAAATGTAAGTTTTCTGAGTTATGTGATAAAAAGTATCTTAAATTTGTTTTCATTTCATATGAGCTTTTATAAAACTCGTCTTGAAGTTTCATAAATTCTCATATGAAGTGAAAACTCATTTAAGATCCTATATATACAATATAACCTGGTTAGTCAAGACACTTTGGTTTCTTTATACAATATAACCTTGTAAGTCCAGACACTTTGATTTCTGCAATGTAACCAGGTTAGTCAAGACACTTTGGTTTCTGTTCAGACCTGCACGGTTTAGAAACAGAAAAGTTCAGACCTAAACTGCTTAGAAACAGAAATTTTCCGATTTACAAGGTTTGGAAACAGAAATGTTCAGACTTACAGAAACAGAAATGTTCAGACTTACAGAAACAGAAATGTTCAATTTTACAAGGTTTAGAAACAGAAATGTTTAGATTTACAAGGTTTAGAAACAGAAATGTTTAGATTTACAAGGTTTAGAAACAGAAATGTTCAGATTTACAAGGTTTAGAAACAGTAATGTTCAGACCTACACGGTTTAGAAACAGAAATGTTCAGATTTACAAGGTTCAGCTTTGTTTTACCTCTTCCTTGACTGCCTATTGATTTGCCTACTACTATGAAATTAGGTGACATAGCCTTGTCATCAGTGAAGTGTTAGAGACATCCTAGCACTTATCTGTAAACAGTCTGCTATTACCTCTACTCTCAGGCAATTAGTGAAACTTTCATGAGCTGATAATGATCTGCTCTTACAGCAATGTTTTTTAAACACCTTTTATGGTGTGATGTTATTTGATTTGAAAGCGTGACAGCTATCCCAAGGGAAATAATGATGTCTGTTTTCTGCAGAAACACAAGTTCGGTAAGGTTTCTGCTGATAAATCTTACAAAGCATATTAAGTTAATGATTATGTGCTATCCACACATCTTTCTTCGCCAGACATCTTTGAATCAACATGGAAAATTACTGCCAAATTGGATCTTGTATTTTTCCTCATCTTCAAATGAGATTGTCAGGGAACTCCATATTTGACTTCACATGCATTCAGTCAAATATTTATTTAAAACAGCAAATTTAATATGGCATCATTTTGTATAAACTATTTTCAAAACTGTAGAGTGCTTTAATTTGGCAGGATAAAAAAATGTTCTAGTTCTGTTTCTGGAAAATTTGCACAACATGTAATAATCAATAGCTCTTATAAACTCTATAGGAATGGCAAGTAAGTAGTCGGGTTTTCAGATTTGTTTCAGGCTGCAAATATGGTGAAAATAAACCTGAGTGAAATATAAATATTCGCAGTAATAAATTTGCATGTCAGTGTTAAAGTAGATGGTTTCATGTATAGATCATGTTCATGTCTGTCTTCATCAAATCACAGAAGGACACACTTTATATTGGATTATTCCCTTTCTTTTATATATACAGTTAAAGTATGACTTGGGGGATATTCTAGTATATATACAGTTTAAAGTATGGGCTTGAGGGATATTCTAGTATATATACAGATAAAGTATGGGCTTGAGGGATATTCTAGTATATATACAGATAAAGTATGGGCTTGAGGGATATTCTAGTATATATACAGATAAAGTATGGGCTTGAGGGATATTCTAGTATATATACAGATAAAGTATGGGCTTGAGGGATATTCTAGTATATATACAGATGAAGTATGGGCTTGAGGGATATTCTAGTATATATACAGATAAAGTATGGGCTTGAGGGATATTCTAGTATATATACAGATAAAGTATGGGCTTGAGAGATATAGCAAGTGTCTGGTTCCCAGCTGGGACATGTTTATTTCCCTGAGGCTTACAGATATCTTGGATATCAGATATCAGGTCACCAGGTATCAGAAACTTGCTAAGCCTAAAATACTACCATACTTTAACCTTTTTATTATACTGAAAAGAAAAGCCCTTTTTATTTGTTCTGAAAACCTTTCTGCTCTTTCAATATTGTCTTTGCCTGATCTCACAACCAATAATAACAAGAAGGGGATCAAGTCAGTACAAGTTTTACCTACCTCTTACCTGATTGACTTTGTCATTTTCTTGAGAAATTGCAAAGGCTAATGAGGAAGTTAGTCTTCAGGGGTGTTATAGTTTTCAGACTAGCACGTGCACACAGCTAATAGAGGATTGGTCAGTGTCAGGCAGGATAAAGTTAACTTAACAAGACACTTCCAATATGAAGTAGTGCTTTATTAATATTGATATGAACATAGAATAAAAAAGACAACACAATTTGAATAAAGAAGACAACACAATTTGGAGCCTGATAATCAGTAGATGTTTACTTGGTCAACATGTTTCATCCATTGTCAGAATAATTGTTGAATTTTAGAAAACCTGCCTGAAATACAATTTTGTATTTAGATATTTGATATTGATAGAATTTCAGAAAACCTGCATGAAATACAATTTTGAACTTAGATATTTTATATTGGTAGAATTCTAGAAAACCTGCCTGAAATACAATTTTGTACTAAGATATTTGATATTGTTAGAGTTTTAGAAAATCTGTCTTTAGCATAATTTTGTAGATCAGATATTTGATCATAGATAGAATTTTAGAAAACCTGCTTAAAGAGTGGTTTTGTATTTGTGGAACCTTGTAAATCTTTCTAAAAGTATTGCTGTTGCAAGATTGTCATCTTTTGTGTGATCAGCAAGTCTTCCTACACGAAATTCATAGGAATTTAACATAGGAATGAGAATCTAAATTGAGCAGTGTGAATTGCTCCGTAAGACTTTAAAGTCTGTTACTAGCTGTCTTGAAATAAGTGTTTAAAACCGTGAGAACAATAAATTATCAAGGTTCCATGATTGCACGAAAAGATAGATTCTAGGTTGTCTTGTGTTCTTTTTGGTCAATGTCCAATAGTTAATGTATTAACAAGTGGTTTTTATCTCATAATTTTTTTAAAATCTAGACTTAAGTGTGATCAAAGTGTGGTAGATCTGTGTTTTACTAAGACTGTACTTTGGACCTTTACAGAGCCTCCCAGTCAGAGTTGGACTCCTTGACCAGTCTAATAGGGTCTATGTGGACACATTTCAACCCACCAGTGTCACCGACAAATCTCAACCTTGATGATATGTTCAGCTTTCTCCAGGAGGAAAAACACGAAAACAACAAAGACTCCAAAGGATCTACACAACAAGCCCTTGATCAAATCAACGAAGAGTTTGAGCTTCTTAACGACCTGCTAACAGAGGACATGGTAAATACTTAGCATTGAAAATCTCTGCCTGCCTTTCCTTTTATCCTGTTTTGTATTGGATGTAGAAATTTTATATTTGTTATAACAAAGAAAGTTGATTTCAAATAAAAACTGCAGTTATGTGAGTGAAGCACCAGTTTTAAGGTTATAGTTGTGAATTGTTTGTTTAAAACTATGTATTTACTTCAGGAGAAGAATGAGGAAGACAGGAAAAAACAGGAGACAGACATTTTGGAGGACTTGGACCGCATTGTAAATGGTCAGGACCTGCCGCCACCTCCACCAGAGATGCAAGAGTCCATCTACGAAGAGCTGCCTCTCCCACCTTTTGAAGACTTACCTCCTCCACCAGCTATGACAGACTCTGTAGGCCCCATAATTCCTCCACCTCCACCTATCCCTGCACCTCTTCCCCCCTGCAGGACATCTTCTCGCAGTTCCACAGGTCCCATTTCTCCACGCTCACTTCCCCCAGAAATTTCTATCCCACCTCCGCCACCACTGGAGGATGACTATATACCAGCCCATCCTCCGCCACCCCCTGTGCCATCAGGAGGGGGAGGTCCTCTGCCCCCTCCCCCACCTACATGCCCACCACCCTCATTACCCTTACAGACATCACCACGCCCTCCTTCATCACTGTCGATTGCCACACCCACATCAGAAACATTTGAGTCCCTTTCTTCATATGATGACAATATGTCAGAAATTCTTGAAATGCAAAATGTTTTATCACAATTTGAAAAAGGTGTTGATACACCCCCAATCAAACGTCCTCCAATACTACCCCCACCTCCCACAATTCCTGCCCCACCTCCACCTCCAGAGGCAGTGACAGCCAGAGTGACCAAGCGTCCACCATCTATAGACCTTAAGACTGGACGCAAGTCATCAGAACTTCCGCCAACATATGTAGAGGTCTTGTCACCAACAACCGAACGAAAACTTCATCGTATGTTGTCTGACAAATCAGAAGATGGTGCAGGTCCACCATCACACCATCCACAACAAAGAGTGCCACCTATTGCCAGACAACTTCCTAATGGGGAGATTACTCCAACCACACCAGTCAAAGAAAATGGCTTCTTAGCAGAGGATTACTTCTATGATATTCAGGAATTTGCCAACAAGTATTTCAATGACCATGTGAAGGATGTAGGTGGTACCATCATGAAAAGTCTGCGCAAGAAGAGACATTCAGCTGAAGTAAGTTCTTTGCATTAACTGCACAAATATAACCCTAGGGTATAAAGATATGATGTCATTGGGTCTTGTTAGCCTGAGTAGCTCAGAATAGAAATTCTCAAATACAAGAATGCTATATAAATAATCCAGAATTAAAAGGAAGATAATTCTGTCTAGAATGTTGTTATGATAGTTGTTATGTAATTTTATACAAATATAAAATCTATGAGTGGATAATTAGTTCCCACCAGCAATAACAGAGGAGAGTTAAGGTTGGCTCTCTGTCTGTTCGTCTATGCCACACTTTGTCATATCTCAACTACTGTGTTACCTACAATTGCCTAATTCTGCAAGTAAATACCTCTTGTGATACCTACTTAAATTAGGTATTGTGGGCCGCTATCTATAGTTATGGTCCTTTGTTTATCGTGAATCACTTTATCCAGTGCATATCTCATATAATCTGTCTGCTACAGTTGTCACATTTTTCATGTGAGTACCTCTTGTGAGGTTTGAGTGTTACATATTAATATTGGGTCTTTTGTCCCGTTTTATACAGAGGTTTGGGACTATGGATTACTTAAATTACTGTACTTATTACCTAAGGAAGCATATTTATACATATTTGTCAGTATATGATAGTATTTTGTCTGTTGCTGTTCTTGTTTTACTTGAAGCGATGATGCTGTAGGTGTTTTACATGATGTTGTTCCAATGTTTTAGGATCTGGTGAGTAAGGAGGAGATGCTGTCCTTCCATAAAACAGGGGTGATTCCCACGTCACATGTCCACCTCCATGACCCAGAGAACATTCACCAGGCCTGCCTGATCTTCAAGGTAATTACACAGACCATATATCAGTCTAAATCAAATACCAGACCCATCTCAGCAGGTATCAAAGTTACCTCACTGTATCCAAATTAATACAATAAATTGTCGATACAACATCTCGTCCTATTTACTTAAGGAGTATTTTTGAAAGTGTTGTAAAAATAATTTCAGGACATCACAGAGTATATCAAGGATGAGATTAAGGACACCAATGCGCTGACCGTTGTCCAGAACATGATCAAAGCTGGTTTGGAGAGGATAGAACTTCGGGACGAGATTCTGTGTCAGATCATCAGACAGATAAACCAGAACCCAGACAGAGGCTGGCTCATACAGGCCTGGGTGTTATTATGTCTGAGTACAGCCGCATTCTCTCCCAGTAAAACACTCCACAAGGTGAGTACACAGGCTGGGTCTTAGAGGCTGGGGGTTACTTTATCCTAGTACAGTTGCATAATTTCCTTGTAAATTCCTCCTCAAATGTGAGTACCAGTACTGTTCTCATAAGCCTGGATTTCCCCCAACAAGACCTTGCACAGGGTAAGTCTTACTCCTTGAGCAAGATTACTTGGTATATGGTTTTAACATTAATATAACTTTTTGGCTATTTTATGTCATGTTTTGTATCTTTCTCACTCCTAACAGAAATCACTGCCCCGCAATGAAAATGCAACAGGTTGTATAAATTTAGTCTGATATGACAAATATCTGCATCCAACTATTATGCGCTGTGTTTGCCCTTTATCATTTCTTTTAGTATGTGCTAATTTTTTTACCACAGTACATCCTGTGTTACGTGAAGAGGATCTGTAGTGACAGTATAGTGGGGAAGTTCGCTCTACAATGTCACAGACATCTGACTGTACCCCGAGCCATGGCCCGCAAGTTCCCACCGTCGACGGCAGAAATCATGGCGAGTATTTGGTTATTTGCACAGTTTATGATTACTATTAAAATAACATTGCGGTTTCTAGATTGAATGGTACAGCATAGGACATTGTTATTTGTCTAAGGAAGTGTCTCAGTGTATTGCAATAGGAATTTCTGGTGAACATTTGATGACATATCTTAAATCATCAAGATGATTATTACAAATGTTATATGGTGTAGTTACAAGATTGTAATGTGGTGGCATGTGATGGCATGAATGTCTGCCAAGTGCTGCTTCCGATGCACAAAACATGTTTTCAATTAATCTGTTTAAAGAAAGTGCAATTTTATGGATATGATATATGATGATAAATTGTATAAGAATTGTATTGTGAAGCAATTATACTTGGTGTTATAGAGTGTATATCTCACCTTAAGGGTCTTGTAATATGACGAGACAATGGTATTGTGTTACAGAGTGTACAGAACCTGAGTCCCCTGGTATGTAAGGTTTATTTTATGGATGGGAAGACGAAGGGCATCACCATCATGCCTTGCGACACAACTCTGGAGGTGTTGGATAACGTGGCAAGGAAGATCGGTTTGCGAGCCGTGGAGGGTTGGGCCTTGTATGAGGTATGTACACACAGGTTTTATAACAATCCTTTAAGTTTTATTTTTGAACTCTTGGTAACGTTAAAACTTGTCTTGCTTAACTGTCAAAAATTAAAGGTGTAACAACTGTGTTTGATGGGATTTACGACAAGAATCCAAAACATGATATTTTTACATATTCATTTTTCTCCCTTGCAGACTCAAAATGCCCTACAAACCTAACCCTATTTGAGAAATGCTGATTATATTTACAGGTAACCAGTGACTATGAGAGGTACATCAAGGGCTATGAATATATAGCAGATGTCCTGGCTCAATGGGAAATGTAAGTAACATTATCTATGGCAAGTATATGCAATTTGTTTCCAAAGTGTTGCATTTGGCATTGGTAGTAAAGTGGGAATATTTTGGAATGTTGTGACATTGAAAATTAATAGTATTCAAATAAAAGTCCAGATGCATAGGTTGTGGTTCTGGGGTATTTTGTGACCCTTTAAACTTTCAGTTAAGAAGTATAAGTAAATAATAAAATAAAATTGTTTTCTCATTGGTAGACATGAAAGAATGTCCTCTATCCCTAAGAAGTATGAAACTATGTCTAAGAAAGGACCAAAAATGGCAATAGGAGGCTCTGATGCCAGGTTGGTGTTCCGCAAACGTGTTTACAAGCATATCCATGACATTCCAAACGACCCTGTGGAGTACCGCCTGCTGTATGCAGAAGCTGTCAACAAAGTGATACGGGTAGGTACATAGGGTAGGAAGTCAACAGATGGAATACAGTTTTACAAAAGTACATATCTTAAATAAATGGGAACGAAAGACTTGTTTGTGGTACATATAATTCTCTGTCTTGCTAGACAAGCAGAATTTACTATGTTTTAATGTTTTACCTTATTTTAAACTTCTAATATACAATTTCCAATAGAAAAGATTTGTGGCAGTTTTTAATTGTACATGGATTAAGGTCGCCTTCTAGCATCGAGCTAGAGGGAATTTTCCTTTAGTTCAGTAGTAGAGCGTCCGACTAGGAACCTGGAGATCGAGGGTTCGTTCCCCGGTGGAAGCACACTTTTCTCTTTCCTGTTACAGATTATTGATTCAACTTTTTTTGTTCTCAGGACGAGTTCCCTGTGTCAGACAAGGTGGCCCTACAGCTGGCAGGCCTTCAGGCCCAGGTGGTGTGTGGGGAGTATGAGGAGGGCAAGGACTCCAGGTATATACATGACTTACCGTCCTAGTCGTCTTCCTACTTCAATGTAGGACCCTATTTTGTCTAGATATTTTCTATCTGATAGAGCTTCTAGAAACCTATATCTTGAGCAGCTATATTGTCTTCTACTATACAAGTAGTAAATATTGATTCACTGTTAAATGTTTTTGTATCTTAAAGCACGGACTTAGATAGCAGGGCTCTAATCTAATTCCATGCTTCAAGTGATAATTTATAAATTAATTCAGAATTTACATTGAGCCTGCAGTAATATTTTGAATGTTGTACCCCCCTGACCCAAGGCTTGCTGTTACAGGTATTTGGAGGTAGAGCAGTACCTGTGTGAGAGAATCCTTAACTTACCTGGGCGTGACTGGTGCGAGGAGGTGGCCGCTGCACACAGAGTATGTATCTCCATAAACTACCACCTGTTAACTGTTTAATCTTTGTTTTATGTATTCTTCCTTATAATTATTTATACTGGAGGAAAAATTGTACGTTTATGTATACTGTTTCCTCAGTAATTTTTGTTTAACTTGACTGAAACTCACTACAGTGCTCAACATTAATAGACCTGAGGATACCATATCAGAGGTATTGTCGTTGTAGATTTTCATGTAATATGCAGATGCTTATGTGTTTTACATGCGTTTTCCATCACAAGGAAACTGAAAACATAGAACTTGAAATAGACTGACAATATTGTTCCCAGTACAAAGTACAACTTTGAATGTATTTCATTGCCATAATTTCTATGGGATCGGACAAAAGTTTGCAAAACCTTTAAAGCGACTTTCTCTGAATAGTATAGATACCTTGCTGACATGTTGTTTGTGACCTTGCAGCACTTCGGGCGAGGCAAGACAGAGCTGGAAGCCCAGGTGTGGTACATCACCTGCGTCAAACAGTTCCCGCTCTACGGCTGTACGCTCTTCCCCATCGTACACAAGGGACTCTGGTCACACACAAGCGATTCCATCCTCGCGATCAACATGGATGGTATCAAGTTCGTCAAGGCCAAGGACAAATCAGTCATTCACGCATTTAAATACTCTGACATTGAAACCATCATCATCGACCCCAATGACAATTACATCACGTTAGAACTAAAGAGTGCTATCGAGGGGGAATGCCAACAAAGGTGTTTTGTGTTTGAGACCAATCAAAAGGAAGACATCGGTCACCTGATTGCAAGTTATTCTCCAAACCATGCATCTTGGCTTAGGCCAGAGTACGAGAGCTTGAAAAGGGTAAGTAACCTAAACAAAGGATGTCTAAACCTCAACAGAGTTCCATAAACGCTACCATAAGAAGTTTTTGTGCCATAAATACTTCCTATTATTTGTTTTCTATAGGTGTTTAAGATGTGGAATATGAAGGAAATTTTCTATACCATATTCATAATCTATTACCATTGTGTGACCTATTTCTGTTTCCCAGTCTCAGATGACCTTGACACTAAGTTGTTTGACCTATTTCTGTGTTACTGTCCGAGATGCCCCTACTTATATTGTGTGTCATCTGTACTACAGTCTAAGCTGACAGACGAGGAGAAGCTGAAGCTGTATGAGGAGTTAGTGCGGTGTAGACGACAGCTGTTTGACAGCCGACTGTTACACCGTCCCATGCATTCCAGTAGTACTGGCTTCCTTAGACAGTCCATCAGGAAGTAAGTACACATCAATAGTAACACTTGTTCTTCAATTTAGTATATCAAGACAGGTATTGCCTGTAACATTCCTAGTTGAAGTATTAATTTTTAGATTAAGCCATTAAGCTATAATACACTCGAAAAAATTTAATTGACTACTTTAATTTCCGGTTTGGCCCTAAATGTGTGAGGTGCATTCTTAACCAGTTATGTCAAATAATCTGTTTCTGTTTCTTCAAATCTCAACAGGAGATAATAAGGGTAGACTATAACTTACTACCTGGTACATTATTAGCTGGAAGATGCTTGCTCTGTGCATTCGTGCCATTCGTCTAATGGATAAATGAACTAATTTGTAGTGAAGTGGATGTAAAACGAATTGTACCAAAAATGTCAGTCTTGTAGCTGTAACCCATGTTATGAACAGAAATCAATACAAATGTGACAAATGAGGTATTAGCTTTATTGCAAGATTTAAATGGGAGAGATGTTTTTGTAGAGAACTATTTGAAAGTACTAGAAAAGTATGAAATGTTTGTGTCAAGAAACTTTCAGAAATACTCGGGATGTTTGAAATGTTTCTGTAGGGAAACATTTATGATGATTACAGATATCAGACTGTATAAAGTACAGCAGTTTGTTTGTTTATGGTATTATATATCATGAATTGCGTAATTGTAGGCTGACCAAGTCTAAACTGGACCGTCTGAAGAGTTCCTCCATGTCGAATCACTTTGATGTGAGCTACTGGTCATACAATAAGACAGCACCAAAACAGCCACTCACAGTGATCACTGAGCCTGTCATAGAGGAGCTAGCCGTCAAAATGTTTAACTCTATCCTTATCTTCTCCGGCCTGGAGGAGACCGGTGCGTATCCCTCTATACTGTTTATGTCTGGCTATAAAACTCACTGTGAACACACTTATAGCAGAATCATATTATTGTCCTCGGCAAAAAAATGCCTCATGAATAAATCAATCTCTTATAACAAATTATGTCTGGCTATAAAACTCACTGTGAACACACTTATAAATTCTAGTCCTATTATTGTCCCCTAGCAAAGAATTGTCTCATGAATAAATAAATCTCATATAACAAATTATGTCTCAGTAGCTAGTTTCTTATGTCTCTAGATGTTCTTTATAAACATGGTTTACTGTAACTGGTAATCATAACGTTACACCATTAACATTGACAAATGTCAACAGTCTGTTGGTATGTAGTAAAACCCCAATATTGTGTCCCTCACTTTCCTTGCAAACTCAATTACCGCAAACGTATCTCAAGGTCCCTGTTTCCTTTTAACGTCTCCCATGATGTAATGCCAAACACCTTTATAACGTAAATTTTGCTGTACAAATGGTTTTATAACTTCATTATGTAAAGTAATCAATATGTTGTGTTTGTATAGTGTTTTGTAAACATCCATCTGTATATGTTGATCATTTAACCTGAAAATAATTACTGGTACTTTAGTCAGTTTTTTGTCTCTTCTTACAAAACAGAAAAAGAAGAAAAGCCAGACTACTATGGGATGGTACAGAGATTGATGCAAAAATGCCTAGAAAATGACCAGTTATGTAATGAATTTTTCCTGCAGCTGGTGAAACAGACTACAGATCATCCAGGTAAGGTTTTCACGATACTGGGATTCTCATGACTGGGAATGTCCCAGGCTGCACAACTGGTGTCTTTTACAGCTGGGGATATCCCAAGCCTCACTATGAGTATCCGTCATGGCTGGGGATATCCCAAGCCTCACTATGAGTTTCCAAAAAGGCAGGGAATGCCCCAAGCCTCATTATGGGTTCATGTCATTACATGTTACTGCCAGGGATGTCCAAGGCCTCACTTTGAATTTCCATTATGTTGTATCTTTCTTAGCTGAGGACATCCTAGGCCTCAGTGTGGTATATCTGTCCTGTTTGTGTCTATATCCTTATCTAGCTATACCATACTTATTGGGGGTAAGCCCACTCATATTAATGGTTAGAGATCACTTATGTATAATAGTTTACGCAAATATATCCTTGGCTGTACAGAAGTTTAACTTTTAGAATTTTAATATCGACTCATTTGATGTTCTTTGCTGAATGACTGAATAAAAACGTATCGTTGAAGATATCCAAAACGTTTCCAAAGCTATTGGTTAAAACTTATGGTATTTATGACCTTACTGGTTTGTTCCTGTCACGATAAACCATGGAATTTCTTTATTGAATCAAATGTACTGTGAGAACATGGCAGCAGGGAGATAATACAGAGCTAGCTAGTACTGAGATTATTACAAGGTACTGGTATATACACTTTCATATAGCAGTCACAAGGTTGCTCTGTAAGGTGTAAAATTCATTGTGATGCATTCACAGTTAGTGTTGGTGCTTATTTGAGGGTCATACAGACAATAAGTTCAGATTAAGCTACAATGTGAGTTGTTATTTGGTTAGAGCTGTGTGGCAGGCACCTGGAACACAGTGTAGTGTTGTCAACACATATCTTACAGAGGTTTGAAATTAATATTCTGAAATCTGTATATTTACAGAAATATGCAACCAGACATTGAATCGTTAATTAGAGTCTTAAATGTACAGAGATTTGAAAGTGGTAATGTCGGTGCAAATCTTCGATATTTAAACATACGGTAATATTGAGTATTGTCAATGCAAAATCTTACAGAGAGTTTGACATGGTAATGTAAAAGTGAAGCAGAATTTTATGTATCTTAACAGACTATGATAGAAAGTATTATATAAATCCACAGGTTTTCTGTCTCTATCTTATATTATGTTTGCTTCCATCTTGAATCCTATGATTTAATGTTAAGGGTGGGTGTTTCCCTTACAGGCATGGGCTTATTACCCGATACTTATGGTATTTACACAAGCATGGGACGTCATGTGATGTTGTCCTCTGAATGTTGTCATGTTATATGTTGTTCTGTGCACAATAATTATAACCACTGTTAAATAATTTGCATGTATCCTCTCCTATAATAAAAACTCCTGATAAAGATAGCACTCAGTGTTTTTACTGGATATTGCAGCATGCTGCATGTATATTTGTAAAAGTGAACATTGTAAATGTATTTCATTAACAAACAATAAAAAAAAAAATGACACTTGGTATCATGTGTCTAGAAACAAAACATTGCCTATGAAATGGACAGTTTTTGTGCCCATAGGATGGACGGTTTTGTGCCTTAATGCACTGAAATCCTACTCGGATGACATCTAGAAAACAGAACCATAACAAAATTGAGGAAATACAATATTTGTTACATGTTGTGTAGATGGTGTGATGATAAGCATGTAAATCCATGTTTGTTGTGTAGCAGTAGATCCTAGCTGTATTGTTGTAGGTGCATGATGTGTATATTTTTGAATGTGTTGTTTATTGGCAGGCAAAGGGTATGATCGGTACAAAGTTGTTACTCCTGTTGGTAAGGCTAAATCATCACTGCTAGCTATGGCTACTGGATACTGCGCTTTTGGAAATGTATCATCCAGCCAGCACAAGGTTGGAAACACATGCGAACCCTGTACGTAGTGCTATACTCGCTTTGTAGATTAGCCACATTTGCCACGCTGGTTCCTTGGCGAGGTCATACACTAACAATGGATGACTGTGGGTATGGTTCAAGTTTTTCAAAACATGGGAAATGTTTAAGCATTAATGACATGCACAGAAAAGATGTCCCTATAATCATATATACATAGAACACTTTTTAAGACAATAACATATCTCCCCTTCCTGTAACAAGGGTGAAGACAATACCATATATCCCCTTCCTGTAACTAGGGTGAAGACAATAACATATCTCCCCTTCCTGTAACTAGGGTGAAGACAATAACATATCTCCCTTCCTGTAACTAGGGTGAAGACAGTAACATATCTCCCCTTCCTGTAACTAGGGTGAAGACAATACCATAAATCCCCTTCCTGTAACTAGGGTGAAGACAATAACATATCTCCCCTTCCTGTAACTAGGGTGAAGACA